AAAGGTTTTGAATTATTACAACATCGAACGCGAACACCACCTCTATCTATCTCGCGAGCGAATCGCTAAAACAAACAACAAAACTGCTTCTATATACAAATCGTCGCAGCCCTCGCGCTGTCACTACTGTCGCACCTTCGCAAGCTCAAACAGCACACTTGTACGACTCCGGCTTTGTCGCATCGCTGTCCTTCGAGATGAGTCGTGTCTTCTGCGGGTACGGGCACAGGAACCTGTCGAATTGGGTTCCCTTCGTATCGTTGAAACTCACGGGCAAGGTCTGCGGCACGACGTCCTTCTCGACCCAGTCGACGAGCGCATGGAACGTGGCGGGAGGCTTGCCGCCGGCAGCGCCACCATTGCAATGTCCGAGGCCAGGGACTTGGTAGTAGCGGAAGAAGTCGTCGACGTTGGCGTCAAGGTCCTTCACGCGGTTGTAGTAGTTGTCGGTCGCCTTGTGCGGGATGATATTGTCGGCCTGGAGAAGAAGTTAGTCGGGTGTCAAGAGTAAAGGCGTAGCGGATGGAGAACTTACCAAGCCGTGGAATGTCATGAGCTTGCCACCAGCCTTGCGGTACTCCGAAAGGTCTGCGTCCGCCGTCTCGATGATGGAAGACCACTCCTGGACTGATGACTTGAACATACGCGTGTACTCCTCCACTGTGCTGATCTGCGTGTAGTTCCACTCGGGGTCTTTCTTGACGAAGAACTTCAACCAATTCTCACCAAGGCCCGACGGAGACCCGGTGCATGTACCATTGGCATTGCAGGTTGTTGTCGCAAGAGCGACCCGGAAAGGGGTACCGTCCATGCCATCGCTGCCGGTGAGATCGCTTGCGTAGTCAACGCCGTACCAGATGAACTCGCCGTCAGGTCCCCGGGGGCCTTCCCATGTAGCGTTCGCAATGACCGCGGCTCCTTCGCTGATCGTGACAGCCTTTCCGGTCGATGTGCAGTTGTGAACGCTGCCAACTATCGTGAATGGGTCGAAGAAGCACTTCTCCGGGTCGGAAACGAGACCGTCAACAACGCCGTCGAGAGGGTCGCAAGCGGCGACAGCAGCCGAGGTGATGGCGTCAAGCTCACACTTCGTCGGGAATTGGTTTGTCATTGACATCATGACTTGCGCCCATGCAGCGTTGAAGAACAACTCATTCCAGTTGATCGCAGCCGCTCCTGCATTGATGCCGTCGTACGCCTCAGGGTAGCGCTGAGCGAGCATGAACCCCTGGCGACCACCTTGGGAGCATCCGTTCCAGTAGGAATACTTCGGGGCTTGTCCGTAGAAGGACTTGGCGACGTCTTTGGCGATGAAAGACTGGTCGTGGAGAGACTTGGAGGCGAGGTTCTGTATCGCATACAAATTGACATTGCCAGGGCTGTTCAGCGCCCACGGATCAGGAATAGGTGACGAGCCTAGGCCGGCGTCTGTTGTTGAAGCCACATAGCCCTCGCCTATCGCTTCGTCCATGAAAACGTAGGATATAGTGAACCGGCCAGCAACCCAGCCTCCGCCTCCGACGGCCTGCAGTCGTTCGTTCCAGTTATCGATTGGGAGCCATGTCTCTACATTGATGTTGTCGTTCTGGCCTTCGTGGGTGTATGTTACGGTCACGTTGCAGAAGTCGAGGCCGAGCGCGGCGGGAGAAGGCTTGTTGGTGGACGTGTCGAAAGCTCCCGTGTAGTTTTGGACGAGCGCAGCGGTGAGACCCGTGACATTGGCGCCAAAGACGACGGGGTGCGGGATAGAGCTGGCATTGCAGGCAGAGAATGGGACGGTGAGGTTCTGCATCGTGTTGTATTTTGGAACGAGAGACTGTGGTCGGATGATGAGTTGGAACGATCGCGACATTGATCATATAAGTAGCGACATGATACAACAGCTCTCGCCGAGATGCCTACTGTAGGTACTCTGGTACGACAGGCGAGTCCGCTCGGTGGTCGATGCGTCGATAGGGACGAATACGAGTCATGGTATACGACGTATTCGCTGGTTGGCTACGTATCGCGCTAGGGTTGCAAAAGTACCTCGTTCGGCCAGTCGAGCCAAGTTTTCCAGAAGCTGCCCAAGAATCTCGAAATCTCCTCGATTAGTACCCTGCCGACGTTGCCGACCAGCCACACCCGGCGTCTACGATGCAAAAGAACCGCGTAGTGGGCCAGGATAATGAGCGCTTCCGGTTTGCGCATAGACAAAAGTGCCGTAAACTCGCTCGAGAGATTAATTGGAAACACCCAGATTAAACCAGTTCCAGGCGGCTGATTTGACGGCTTTTCCACGTCAGGCTCTGTCTGGTATACGACTGTCAGCTCAGATGCAGCCACACTGCAAGTCTGTCGAGATTCCTCGCTCATGTCCGCGTGGTCCAGTAAGTTTGACAGGCGCTCCGCCACTGCTACTGCTGTTTGCCCGTTCGAACATATGGCATGATGAATGGCACTCGTGCTTCGCTCGAAAAGTGGAGCAACGCTGGTCTGGTTCAAGAATCCCCAGGATTGCGATATAATGGCTCGAACTCCTCGATGCAAGTTCATGTACGTGACGAATCCATCCAAGACTCCACCCGGTCCCACATTGGCATTCCCAGCGACTTCTGAGAGGGCGTGCAAGCCAGTCATGGTAGAGAATGACATGATAGACAAAAGGTTATCTGGCGTAACTTCGATATGTGCACTATTGAAGGCGCACAACGCCTGGGTTTGGAGAGCTCTAGCCTCCTCGCGATGTCGGTCTGCTTCTTCAGGGTGTTGGTAGCTCATATGCATGGCGGAGAGGGCCAGAACTTGGTACATGGCATATGGCTCTGACAGAATCGCTGGCATAAGAGCACGTGCTTGCGTGTCGTCTATCGACCCTGTTTCTGCGAGGCTTGGCAACGTCTCGTAGATGAAGTGGCTGAGCAACTGCATATGTCGCAAGCTAAAACAGAGGTCCGAGCCATGCGGTGACGACGCCGCCGGAGAGAGGAAAGACAGGTCCACGGAAGACGTCACGGCTGGTGACACCGTACTGCTGTGTTCCACCGTACTCGGCACGCCATGCGACGTTGGAGTTCCGAAGTAAGATCCTGATGTGGTCTCGGGCACCGCATATGGCGATTGGCTGGATACCGCGCGTTGAGATGGGTCTGGTGGCCTTGAGTACGTGCATGTACGATCATCGCGCGCGCAATTCTCGCACGTGGGCTGCGCCTCATCGCACTAGAACGATCAGTATGGTTTATTCCCTAATGCTACGCGAGCAGATGCAGGTACCCGCGCTCATGATGCCGTCGCGTACCTTGATGTGGCGTCTCTTGCACTCTTGACAACCGTTCCTAGATTTGCGATGCGATCTTCTCAGAACCTTACGCGGAGCCATGGCGGACTTTGGCGAATGCGACGTAATTGGCGAAAGGACGATGAAAAGAAATACGTGGAGGCGGAAATACGGATAGCGGCGAGAGGGTCTTGAAGCGTTGAATACGGATACGCTGACTAACCGGCGTTTTAGTTTAGCGCCATCGAAATCCGAACATGGGCTCGGGAAGATCCGTTCACGTTTCACCGACCCAGCACCAGCACTGCCGCAACATGTGGGTCTGTCATGGATCATGGTCGGTGGTCCGTATCGAGTGTACGGCGTATATCGCTACTCACGGTCGAGCCTGAACATAAGCGCAATGACGCGGCTGCAATCTACGAGACGCATGCGACGTTGTCTAAGCCCATAGCTCTCAGAAAGCTTGGGAGGGGGATTGGCGTTGGCTGCAACGTGCGCGATGCCCTTTAATAACTTCAAACCGGGTGAAACCTAGAAGAGAATGGACGTCGTTCCGAGCCGAACTTTGTATCGAGACATTCTTGCGGACAAGCTGGCTTCTCGAGATAGCGAAGTACGCAGCGGGCTTTGTATCCGATGTCGAGAGTGTACTAAGCGAAGCATCCGTCACGCGGTTCTGTAGGAGCCCAAGCCTGGGTCGCGTTCCCGACTGCGCAAGTGAAGGACGCAGACTTCGCGCGCCTGTTCACTCGATCACATCATTAATTCGCGAAGGTACCAGCAGCTGTTATAGATGTTCGAGCGTCGTTCTCTTTGAAGGATGGCAGGATGGGATGCCGGCGATGAGGTGTTGAGAGCAAGGGTGCGTGTACCTCGGTGCAGGAGGCGCGGCGCGGCGTTATGTAGCTCCGATGCGTCATCCGGCTGGCTAGCTAACGCGTCGCCCCCAACACGTAAACAGTCACCACGCTTGCCGAACTGTCACCCACACCCAAGGCGCTACACGGCTCCCACAATGGCAATCTAGTCCGGTTCAATAGCTTGTGCGAAGGCGATAGGAATCTTGCGGTTGTCTCACGCGTAATCCCGACACGACAGCCAGTCTCCTCACCGCACAGCATATCGAATCTTCCTGGCTTTCATATGATCATTGGCTATTGGACCAGGCCGCGAAAAGGCTATACGAAACTTCCAGCGCGATGTCTATTAGATGGCACCGGCTACCCCGCGAGCGTCAGTTTGATGACGTACCAATCCTAAGCAGTCACTTTTACGTCTTGACCTTCGCTGACTTCGCAACTACGTCCAAGGGTCGGTCAACCTCGATGCGCAATATGCAAACAGAACCCTATCGTTACCGCTCACGATGTCGATCTCAACCCCCTGCCGCCATCCGGGACCCACACATCCCGCCTTTGCGCTGAGCATGCCTAACCGACCTACCCTCATGCGCAACATCACCGTTCCACTCGAAGCCGCGGACAGATCAAGGCGGTGAATATGATAGCGGAGTGTTGGTGGATGACGATGGGCTGACTGGTCGTTGCCCACCGTGGTCTTGCGCATCGATGGACTACGCCGTGACGGCGGAATGTATGATTGGATCGCAGCGGCTGACTGCATACGCCCATACGCCCCGCCTACTTCAAGTGCTATGATGCGAGCTGCACCGCACATATAGCTGATCCAGTGGCATTCTCGACCCGCTTCCTCGCACTGTGGACAAGCTGAGTCTGCAATGGCCGACGTTATCATCGTAGGCGGCGGGATTGCTGGCACCGTGGTCGCTTCGCGTCTGCACGAGAGGAAGCCATCGCTATCCGTTGTACTCATTGAAGCCGGTCCCGATCCTACTGGGAATCCACATGTTGCCATACCAGCCGCGGCCGCGAACCTCCACTTCTCCCAGTACGACTACAACTACTCTACAACACCTCAAGAGCATCTCGATGGGAAGCCCAAGCGAAATGTAGGCTTTAGAGGCCTTGGCGGCGGCAGCGTTATCAACAACGGTACACATGGTGACTGCAGGTGCGCGCGACCAGCTGACTGTGTTAGGTGGATGGATTCGAGGCGATGCGCAGGACTATGACGAGTGGGCACGCGATGTTGACGATCCGCGATGGAGCTACGACGGCCTATTGCCATACTTCAAGCGCACGGAAAGGCACTTCGACCCCGATGCGGATCCCTCGCAGCATGGGCACGACGGTCCGATGCACACGGCATCTGTCACCTCTACCGGCCGTATATACCCATTGCGCGAACCCGTCCATAAGCTTTGGTCGAACCTCGACATACCACATATCCATGACCTAAACGACGGCCGACCTCAAGGCATCAGCGATCTGGTTGAGAACTTCCAGGATGGCAAACGGCAGATGGCGCACTCCGTATACCCGCTTCACGGTGTCCAAGTGCGCACATCAACCATCGTCCGGCGTGTGCTATTCGACGATACGAATACGGCAGTCGGCGTCGAGCTCACAGATGGCGAACGCATTGATCTCAACGAAGGCGGCCAAGTCGTCATAACCGCGGGCGCCTACCGAACGCCCCAAGTCTTGATGCTCTCTGGCATTGGAGAGCCTTCCCAGCTATCGCAGCACAACATTCCAGTTGTATCCAATCTACCAGCCGTCGGCCAGAATCTGCATGATCATCTGATGATGTACCGTTATTGGAAGCTGCGAAACCCAGAGAAGGGTGTAGCGATCGGCTCGCCGCTCTTCGGTGGTCTAAATTACGACAGAGGGGGGCCGGTAGACTTCTTGGTTCGCGCGCCTATACACCAAGTCGGGACACTGAAGGCAGCCATCGAGCGCGATGAGGGCCCGGTATCTGATGACCACGCACTGCTCAAGGGCCCACGCACTCACCTCGAGATGCTTCTCATGTACATTGCCGTCGGAGCAGAAGCGCAGGGTCTTAGTATTCCGATTGACGGATCATCCATCATGACCTTTTTCATGGGCTGTCTTCCGACGTCGCGAGGCTCGGTGACGCTTACATCGTCCGACCCGTCCGCGAATCCTATCATCGACCCGAACTACTGCGCCACGGAAGTAGATCGCTACGTCTTGCGCGAGGGTTTCCGTATGCAATCCGAGCTGATGTTGAATACAGCCGAGGGTAAGATGCTTGTCGAATGTGAACACATTCCGCCAGGCTATCCGGGGAAGTCGGACGAAGAGATCGACGCGAGACTCAAGATGGGCGCGAGTACCACATATCATCCTGCAGGGACAGCAGCGATGGGGACCGTTGTTGATGGATCGCTGAGGGTGTCTGGAGTTAAGAATTTGCGTGTCGCTGATGCGAGTGTCATTCCAAAGCCCCTTGCGGCTCATTACCAGGTACCGGTTTACGCGATTGCCGAACAGGCTGTTGATATCGTACTGGGTGAGCATTTCGAAGTGGCTAGACAGCAACGATAATGTAGACAGACTCTTTCATGCTATGCTTCGTCTAGCCCAGTGACTGTGAGTCGCGCTATTGTTGAACATGTCGACTTGATTGACCTCACTAAAAAGGAGCTACTCCTGCAATATGCCAACGGCCTCTAATTTCCATTTCATATACAGACCAACCTTCTTGGCCCCCGAGCCTTACAGCAGGGTGATGATCTTCGGACTAGGGTAGTGAGACGACGTGATCGACCTGTCGCGGTTCTCGTGTGCCCGCCTACCGCGACTTCGAGTGTCGCTGCCTGGGTCAAAGACTCTGTACACCGAGACCACCCCAACTCTTGTGTATGTCCCTTCGGCGATGTCGGTCGGTATAACGGCAACACCCAGGTGAGGAGTGATCATGAAGACTTGGCAAGAGTCGTACACTTCGATGTCAAAGTATATACTGGCTTCAGCAAGCCTACCGTTTGTCATGCTGACCATGCACTCTCTGCCGTTAAGCGATAAATCCGGTAATACAGCAGAGACAGCAGCAATCGGTCCTCTGATCTTGGCGAATCCGTCTGTAAGTTCTCCAAGGGGGTTTTTACCCTTAGGCGTGACTTCGCAGCTCAGCAGTTCTGCGCACAGTCCTTGGTCGAAATTTTCCTCGAGTAGATATAACACGACTCCTTCGACAGACGCGAATGACCATGTGGGTGCTCTCCAAGGGATGGCCCTCTGTGGTTCCTTCGGGAAAAAGACATACTCATCCCAGTTGGGATCCTGCAAGCGCCAAAGTAGACCTTGTAGAAACCAGCTCTTCCAAATGCCAGCGAAGCAGGTGTCGCCAGTGAGCACCTGTAGGGCTGAGATAACGCCACCTAGGGCGGGGAATTTGTCGGACGCATAGCTCAGATTGCGCGATGTGTAGTCCTCAATCATGCGGGCCCATACGCGCCATCCATAGGACCTCCCGATGACTGCCGGAACCTGTATCTGCTGAGCGCCTGCGGTAGTCGCGTTCTTGATACTTTCAAGCCCCTGTGCTATCCTTTCCAATGACGTCTCTTTCGCGGTGCCGTATTTGTCGACGAATTGGGGCTCAGTGAAGACTTGCTTCGAACACTCTAAGCGCATGTTGTAGCTTGTGAACTGCAAGGTGCGTGTTGCAAGAATTCGTTCTTGAAGTACCCAGCCGCGGCTTAGGAGGGGCTCTTCCTGTTTCACATTAGCTTGTCGGAACGCTGTGCGAATCATCAGAAAGGTGAGCTGTACCCGCCGCATCGTGATTGACTCGTCAGTGATAGACTCCATGGAGCCAGGAGACCACATCAAATCGTCGTAACGGAAGTAAAGGTCGAAAGAGCCCTTGTCGTCTTCAAAAGAGATGATAGTCTCTCCTCTCAGTTTACGTGCGTGCAAGAAGCCCTCGCCACAATGACTGGCACGTGTCGCAGCGATGGTCAGATACGCGTTGCTGTACACATCAGCCATCCGAGAAGCCTCTGTCTCCCAGTCTTCTCCGTCATCTTGTATGATACAAAGACAGTCAGCCCAGAGGTACCGTATGCCTAGATATCTGGTGAGAAAGACGGCGTCTCGAATGGTTTCGGGGAGCTGATTGTACTTGATTCCCCCGTCTTTTTTGTACTTGTCGAGATCTTTCAAGGTTGTGGTGAATGCCAAAGCTTTCCCCCAGCAATAACTCAATGCGACATACTGGCCTTCACTGTCCGGGCCTTTTTCGATAAGCCTAAGTGATTTGTTCTCCAATAAAGTACGTGGATCACCTGGGGTACCTTCAAAGTCAGCTGCTTTAGGCATTGAACCAAGGTCCAAAAGGCGCGTGGGTAGCTGAGATGCGTTGCGCGATGGCACCGACGTTGAGCAGTCCGGATGGTTTTCATTGCAATTCGTGACCCATGTTGCCATCTGCGAAAGTACGAAATGGTGCAAAGTGTCCTGGATGGGCACGTGGCTCTTGAAGCAACCTGCGACGGAGCTGTCTGAAGAGCGCGCGTTAAGCTGAGCCTTTGTTAACAAGTGGAAGTCAAATACCTGGAGTGGTCGTGTAACTGAAGTTGCCACTGAGCTGTACCTGAGGTTCCGCCAGGCCCATGAACACCTTCAGCATGGGCGAGCCAATTGGCGCCAGTATCCACAGAGCTGTTCCATCACAGTCCTTGGCGTTCATTTGATAGTGGTAGCTGCCACTGAGATGATGGGAAATGACGTCGCAGAATGCGCATGTACTGACACTAGCCTGTAGTTCTGATACGCTGTTGTGCCACCTGTAGAACGGCTCCTTCGTTTCGTCAGTGGTGACCGATCTGGGCAACCGAAACCACTGGAATTCGTCGTACACGGAACTGTCGCATTGGTGAAGCTTCAGGAAGCTGCGAATCGGTAAGGACTGGCATGTATGGCAGAATCCCATCTTTGCGAAAAGGTCGTTGTGGCGGGTACGGTACGTGGTCGCCTGATGGTGTCACCTCACGTCGAGAGTCCGCATAGGTGTCAGCGCGACATGTATATGGTGATCAGCTTCTCTTGTGTGTGTGGGAAGCTCAGCAAGGTGTCAGTGCGGGGGATCCCAGATGTTTGCGAGATCGGTACAGTCGTAGCAACTCATCCAAAAAAGACTAATCAGGTGTGCAGACTACATGGGAATAAGAGCATGCAAAGTAGCTGACGTGAAGTTGATGTAGGCTCCAGGGTGTTGAGCCTCTTTTCCCAATGAACGCGAGCGAAGATGTTGGGATGGGCATAGCACGAAGCAGGCTGGTGCCTGATGAGATTGGCTCGTGGGACTTGGCTCTCATCAGATGACAGCGCGGTGAGTACGTGGATGTTAGTCATGGAGCTGCAGGGGCGCTGATTCATCGACGTCGGCGAGTTCCCAGGTGGGACGTTCGCTCTAATTCGAGCTCTAAAATACACGGTTGGGGCAGGCGCGAGGCAGGCCCATCAGATGAAGATGCGAGGTGCTTGCTCCGATCGGAAAGCCGTTCCGACGGCAAGACCGAACCTCCGCGCTCGCACATCCCTTGCTCCTCAGCCATCATACTCCTCACGCCGCCACGACGTCCTACAATGCACGCAAGTCGCGACTTTTCCTCTAACAGCATCGCAATGCTCTTTCCAGCTATTGAAGCACTCGCGGTGGACGTTTTGCCCGCACGAATTCTTACACCACACGAGGTCTTCCCTGCCCTCCGGCGCGTCTCCTTTCATCGCATGGCAACAGATAGCGCAATCCCCTTCGATCTTTTGCCTGCGCACCTGCATCAGGTCACACGCTTCGCATGAGCGCTCTTCCCAGTCACCGCGACACACAGGACACGTGAAGTCCCGGTGGTCGATTACGCATTGCCTACGCCAATCCTCGAAGCATGTTTTATGCAAAGTCCTTCCGCATGTGGACTCACACCACACAACCTCCGACCGATCGTACTGGGACAGAAGGTCGCCTTCTTGACATATGGGGCATTCATCGTCAAAGGGCAGACGGCGGGCATGCGAACGCGCACAACGACGTGTTGAGGTCGTGGAGCCTGGTGATACCTGCGGCACAGTCACGCTTGAGGCCGCGCTTGATGTTTCGCTGAACGCTTGGCCTGGTACCTCGCTGGACGATTCGCTGGACGATGCACTGGACAAAGGTTCCCTGCCGGCCGCTGTTGGTCTTCGCGCATGTCGTGCTAGCCTCCGCATCATGTAGGGTGGGTGCGGCACCACCGGGCTCGATGCCTCGCTAGACGAATCGCTGGACGAGTCGCTAGACGGCGGTCGCGCGCCCGCAGTCGTTGGGCTTGTCTCTCGACCAGACGCTGCGGTGAGAACAGGGCGAATCGGCGCAAAGCTCCTTCGCAAGCGCAGATTGGAGAGAACATTCGGCGGCTGCGAAGACGACGAAGGCGGATCGATCGATGTCGTTAGACGAGAAAGACGAGACTCCAACTGCGCCATGCTTTCGATCCCAGCTCGACGAACGGTAAGCTCCTCGATGCGGCGCTCAGCATCACGAAGCGATTCTTGTAGCGCAGCGACCTCGGCACGTGCAGCAAGCTCTGCCTCTGATGTTGCGAAGACTGAGACATTGTTAGATGGCTGCGCTGTATGGTGGGCAGTAGAAAGCTTACCCATCGCAGACCCAGGCCGCTGCCTCACTCGCTCCGACGTCGCGTCGACTCTTCCATCTACACGATCATGCCTAGGGAACGCCTCCCACATCCGCTTTATCCACCGGTCTAGCATCTCGTCGACTTGATACTGGTGGAAACGAACACACAAGCCATGCTCAGCAAGGCGCTGAAGTTTTGGCCGGAGTCGCTCAGGGTCTGGACTTTGGGTCGCCAAATTAACCACCAACATTTCGACCCTGTGTGCGTTATCTTGACGTATAGGCATGCGGCATTTGCGGCCACGTGAGGGCGCCCATCCAACGCAGCGGCTGTCGAGGGAAAGCTTGAGCACCGCCTGTGGGTCCCATCGGCGGCCAGCGACGGTTCCGAGGTTGGTTACATCAAGAGGCATGCTTGAAAGGGTATGTTGTTTTGGAGTATCAGGGACGAATTGCGCAATGAGTATCAATGTAAAGTCGTGATGATCTGGAGTTCTAACGCTGGATGGTGTCGCCCAAGTCTAATTATACTCATCAGCGCAGTCTTCGTTGGCCCTCGCAGCGCCTCTCAAGACACTCGCACACCTCCGCTTCAGTGTGCTGAACCTGGACGGCCATGGCTGTGTTCGACGCCTCTGAAACGAAGTAGCTGGCCAGGCTGCAACCTCTCCGTTTCTCCCTGGATAAAAGATAGGCGCAGCGTCACAGACCAGGTTCTCTGATGCGTAGGAGCGAGGCTGCGCACCTGTATTTTCATGCATCATCTTCTGTCGAGCGTGGGGTAAGTTGTGAAGTAGTGTGGTAGCGAGACTGTGCGGCACAGTCGATCCCAGCGGCTTCCTGGAACGACATCCGTTTCTGGTCGCAAAGCCATATCCGGCTACCGTTGGACCAGACCATTTGGAAAACGGAACATGAAGCGAAACGCGCCCAAGCCGGACGGTGCGATTGCGAAGGTGCATGTCTTCAGGTATTGCGCTACCTCCGCATCCCACGCAAAAGGATAAATCGAAGGCGCGCGCTCTACATTAGTACCAAAATGAAAGGTTGGTTCGATCTCAACGCGTTGTAGACTTCTGGGTCATTCACTCCTGTCGTTTGTGGTATGTATGTGTCGAGCATTGTCGTGACTTGTTGACCGCCGCATCCACGCCTACGGAGTCTTCGACGCGCCCTCTTGCATCATACGCCTTGCTTCGTTCAAGTCATTCGATATCTCGTGGTCCCAAATCCACGCCATCCTTGTCTGCGCATTGATCCGCAGCGCTTCCAAATCGTCACCGACGCCTTCTCCTTCGAAGTCCCACAGCATACCGGCTTCCTTGCTCGTTTTGACCAGCTTTTGACTGCGCGGCGTTCTTACCGTGTCGTATGCGTGGAATACCGTCTCGAGGGTAGTCTTCGCATGACACTGCGATAGCAACTCGCTCAGGACGTACACATCTTCGATACACATTCCTGCCCCGGCGCCTTGATGCGGTGTCGATGCATGAGCCGCGTCGCCCACTAGGCAGATTAGTGGCTTAGCGCTATAGTACGTTGGTGCAGGTGGGTGGTTGAAGAGCGCCCAGACATCAGGCTTTCGGATGTTTTGCATGATTTTGCGCACGGCGGGGATCCAGTCTTTGTAGTCCTCTAGCATGTCGTCGCGGGACGTTTGGACTACCCAATTCGAGTCCTCCCAAGTCGGTCGTGATGAGAAGGCGACGACTATAGATTTGTTAGCTAAATCGACGAATGAGCGGACTTTTTGTACCATTGAACAACGTTCCATTAGCGATGGGGAACGTAAGCACGTGCCCATGGTAGCCCATATACATCTGCGGCGTTCTTGGTGTCTCATTGCCCAAGATCTCAACCGCCTCCGACATGGGGAGCAGCCCCCGATACGCATACTTGCCCGAGAACACCGCCTTTACTGCGTCTGAGTCGCCCAGGACGATAGATCGCACGCGACTTTTAATCCCGTCGCACCCAAGCACCGCACTGTGCTGCGCAGTAGACCCGTCGGTAAAATGCAAGACCACATCGCCGGAGCCGTCGCATGCTTCAGTGATCTCGAGCACCCTCTTCTTGAACTGTGCGACTCCTTCCGGTACCAGCTTAACCAACTCATCGAGGAAGTGAGCCCTGTGCACGCCACCTCCCGGTCCCTTCCTTCCTGGTATCACAAATATCTCTTCCCCTAACTTGACAATCTTCTTTCTTTCATCCCCAACGCGCACGTGGAACCAGTTCGGTGGGTCGGTGACGGTGTTGCCTTTGCTGCATTTGACGAACGCTTCCGCGATGCGTGGATCGATGAGGGCCATTGTGCGAACCATAACCGGCGAGAAGCCGACACCTGCGCCTATCTCGCCAAAGGCTTCGGCGGACTCGTATAGCGTGATCTTGATGTGTGGACATTTGGTGAGAAGTGCGATTGTCAGCGTGAGGCCAGCGATACCGCCGCCGACGATCGCGATGCTCATGGGGTTTCGTTCAGTCATGACGGTGATAGGCTGGGGATATTCCAGGTCTGACAGCGAAGGAAAATACGAGGAACTGGCTGCGATATGATGATCGTGATTGACGTTGCTGACAGCATACTTCACACCTGATGTGAGCTAGCTTCCACTTCCGAAATGATACTTCGAGGTACAACTGCAGCTGCTCGGTGGTAGGATGGCCCACATTGAAGGTGGGGCAGGCTTATGATACA